CACTGAACCTATACAATGCTTTAAGCGGGGAGTATTAACATTTTGACGATATTAATCCTCCTGATCCATGAGCAGGGGATATCTCTCCATTTCCTAGTGTCCTCTTATTTCTTGAAGTAGTGTTTTGTAGTTTTCTTTGTATAGGTCCTTCACCTCTTTAGTTAAGCTGATTCCAAAATGATTTTCTGAGGCACTATTGTGAACGGGATTCTTCTTTTAATGTCTCTTTCTCATTATTTGTATATAGGAAGGCCATGGACTTTTGGGTATTGATTTTGTAACCTGCCACTCTACTATACAAACCTATTGTTTTTCTGTAGAGCCTTTAGGGTTCTCTAAGTATAGTATCATGTCATCTGTGAATAGTGATTAGCTTGACTTTTTCCTTTACATGCCCTTAATATTTTTTAATATTTTTTCTTGCCTAAGTGCAATGGCAAGTACTTCCAGTACTATATTGAATAGAAGTGGTGAGAGTGGGCAAGCTTGTCTTATTCCTGATCTTAGAAAAAGTCTCTTAAATTTTTTTCCCTGCTGAGAATAGTGCTTGCTGTGGGCTTGTGGCAGATGGCTTTGACTATATTGAGGAAAGTTCCTTCGACTCCCATTTTGCTGAATTTTTTTTCTTTTTGGGTCACACCTGGTGATGCTCAGGGGTTACTCCTGGCTCTGTACTCAGGAATTACTCCTGGTGGTGCTCCGGGGACCATATGGGATGCTGGGAATCAAACCCAGGTCGGCCACGTGCAAGGCAAATGCCCTACTTGCTGTGCTATCACTCCAGCCCCTGAGAATTTTTTTTTTAATCATAAATGGGTGCTGGCTCTTGTCAAATGCTTCTCTGCATCTGTTGATCTGACCACATGGTTTTTATCTTTCCTTCTGTTGATTATTATGTATTATGTTGATTGAATTGCGAATGTTAAACCATCCTTGCATCCCCAGGATGAATCCTACTTGGTTGTGGTGGATGATCTTTTTGATGATTTGTTAAATTCTATTTGCTACTACTTTGTTGAGGATCTTTGCGTCTGTATTCATCAGGAATATTGGCCTGGAATATTGGCCTGTAATTGTTTTTTTTTTTGTGGTATCTCTCTGATGTACATAATTTTAGCTATATAAAAAGGGAAGTATAAGGGTTGGACAGATAGTACAGAGTTTGCCATACATGTGGTGGACCACCAGTTTGCTCCCCAAACCCCTCAAGACAGAGCCATGAGTATCCCCCAGTACTGTTTGTTGTGACCCCAAACCTGAAGCATAAGCTTAAATTGTCTTTAATTTATTCACCAAATGAGTATAGTTTTAAGAAACCCAGACTTACTAAGATTTTCTGTTTATCCTTAAAACAGCCTTGGCTTGATAATAAGCATACAGTATTTGGGCGTGTAACTAAAGGAATGGAAGTTGTCCAGAGGATCTCCAATGTCAAAGTCAATCCCAAAACAGATAAGCCCTATGAGGATGTCAGCATCATAAATATTACTGTCAAGTAAAATGTTTCATTGTATGTGTAAATAAAAATACTTGTATTGAACATACTATTTACACTCATAAGTTTTACAACTTGAACATACAATTTGCAGAATATTTTGTATTTTTTTAATTTTTCATTAAAGTTCATTTTTAAAAACTGTCTTTGATTTTTCTTACCATGTTTTTATTCTAGCAGGTAATAAATCGAAAGACTAAACTTGGGTAAACTGCACTTATATAGAATTTCTCAAGACTAAAAGCCATTATTCCTTGATTAAAAAAAATAACTGCCAGATAATCTTGTTTTAGAACCATCAAAAATGCCAGGATCTGCTCATACATGCCATGTCCTTTGTTTTACTTTTTTCCCCTTTCTTTTGTATTTCTTGCCAAGTAAGTGTCTTGTGATCAGTTTAGTAAGTACACAATATATAGGAGGCCAAAAGTATAAAATAACAATAATAATGAAATGGTTTTTTTTAAATATAAGAATGTGAATTATAGGGCTAGGAAGAGAACTCTAGTTCTAAAAGGGCTAGTTTGCATGCTTTGCGGTGGAAGACGTAGTTTTGATCCCAGGGACTACGTGGTTTGCCAAGCACCAGCTGGGAATAGATCCTGAGCATTGCCACTGTGCCCCCAAAATGAAAACTTTCAATTAAGAAATGTTTAAATAAATAACCTGAGTTCTTGGTTATATATTCAAGTTCATTGGCTTTTTCCACATTTTTTCCTAACATAGCTAAACAGTTTTTCTGTCTTCGAGTAAAAAGTATGTTTTCTTAACTGTACCAAGAAAGCATGTACTGAGTATACTGAGTATTCTAGTGTTAGAATCAGGGCAATAATGATTCCAACACCTAGGGGCTTTTTTTTTTTTGGTTCTGGGGCCATAACCAGTGGAGCTCATAATCACTCCTGGCAGGCCTCAGGGGGACCATGTGGTGACAGGGATCAAAGTGGATTAGCTATATGCAAGGCAAGCTCCCTCCCTACCTGCTGCACTATCACTCCGGCCTCATGAGTCCAAATTTTTTTAGTGATTTCACTTCACTTTCCATCATGAGTGTGTAACTGTTGAAAGTTTACTGCTTCTAACTTCCATACTCAAGAATCTACAGATAATTATCTTGCACACATGAGACATACAATGTCAGTTATATCGCAACTTTTATAAAACTTAGAGAAAAATATTTGACTTGTTTGGGGAATTCATATTCTTTTAAACTTTTTTATTGATCATTTAATTTTGCATTACAAACTCTTATGAGGCAGAAAAATATGCCAAACGGTGCTATTTTAACATTGTATTCTTTTTAAAATCTGAACTTAAAGTTGGACATAAAGTGACTTTTCATGTGGCACATTCCTTTCCTTACTAATTTCAGGTATTTAGAATTAGCAATCTTTCTTTCCTAAAGTCCCAAGCTTAAATTTTTGGTAATACTGCCACCAAGTGGCCATAATGACACCTTCTCCCTTTTCCTCAAAAAAATTACTTTGAAAATCATTTTTTTCCATTGTTTCACAAATTTAATATATTGGTAGACTTAAAAACACATTGTAGGTGCCGTGGATAAATGTACAATGGGTAGTGTGTTAATCTGTGATAATCCGTGTAAGGATGTACACATGTGTGTATCAAATGTATAAATCAAACGTGTATGCTCTTAATGTACATACAATGAGTAAAGAACTTGCCTTGAACGCGGCTGACCCAGGGTTGATCCCCCACAAACAAAAAACAAAATCCATTCACGCACGTGTTCTTGGGGTTAGAGAGCACAACAACCCAGGGTGGTTCCCTAGCAACACATATGATCCTCAAAGTCTTAACCAGGAATGATCCCTGAGTTCAGAGCCAGGAGTAATCCTGAGCACTGCGAAGTGTGACCTTAAACAAATCAATAAAACACTGATTTCTTCTGCTAGTAAGTGGTCCAGCGGTAGAGCATCCATCCTACACTTGCTCTGGATTCAATCCCCAACACTTTAAAGAGCTAATTTTTGAGTTAAAAAAGCAAAGATTTCCTCAACATAAAATTTTAGCTCTCCTTTCAAAGTTATTTAAAATGGGATCGGCTGGATATGTAGCGTAGGTGGTAGAATACATGTCTTGCATATGTGAGGTCCTGGCTGCAGGCAATCCTCAATTGTGCATGACTCTTGAGTACCCCAGGGTGGGGGCTTACCCCTAAGCACTGCTGTATCACAACAGAAAGAACTGTGACATATTACATGTACAGAATAAGTTGTTTCTGGGGGCCATCAATAGAACAGATAAGGTGCTTGTGTTGCGGCCAACTGCAGCTCAATCCCCTGCACCCGTTTTGTCCCCAGAGCCCTGTGAAGTATGATCCCTGAGAACAGAGCCAGCAGTAAGCAATGACATCACTGGGTGTGGCCCAAAACAAAAACAAAACCTATAGTAAGTTTTTTCTAAATCTGTCAGTTCCGACTCCATCTTGGTTTAGTCTTTATCTTTGCCACCACAGAGATGACTTAACCTAGAATAAGTGATTTCTAAATCTAATGTCAATTCTGATCCCATCTGGCTTACTATTTATCTTAGCCACCACAAAGATGACTTAAAATCAAGAAACAATTTTTAGAAAGCTATTGTTTATGGGTTTTATACAACATATAAAACATTGTATGTTTTATACAATGTTCCAACTCCAATCCCACCACCAATATCAACTTCCCTCCACTATGTATGTCCTGAGGCTGACTCCTAACAGGCACATTTTTAAATTTGGTTGTTGTAGTTTGGATCTCAGGCTTTCCGTGCTGTTGGTTCTGTGGTTAAGATACATAGAAACGCCACACCTCTAGCCTTCCCATGTGTCTGGGGCTCTTGACCCTGCTACTCCCAAATGCCCTCGATTTCTTTTGTTCCCTGTCCGCTTGATACTCTGGAGTCAAGGGTGATCTAGATACCCCCTTTAATACTTTGCATTCCCTCTTCCCATTATTCAGTATACTAAAAGGTAACTGGGCTGGAGCGATAGCACAGCAGTTAGGGCGTCCGCCTTGCACAAGGCCAACCCGGGTTCGATTCTTCTGCCCCTCTCGGAGAGCCTGGCAAGCTACTGAGAGTATCTCACCCGCACGGCAAAGCTTTGGGTATTTGATATGCCAAAAGCAGTAACAAGTCTCACAATGGAGACGTTACTGGCGTCCGCTCAAGCAAATCGATGAACAACAGGACAGTGCTAACAGTGCTAACTAAAGATGAGGGAGATCATCCTGTGTTTGTCCTTCTCTCATCCTCCAGTTATTACATCCTCCAGTTCTGACCAAGTTGCAGAGAAGTTCATGATTTCATCATTCCATGCAGCTTTACTGTTTTCTATTATGTAGACCACACCTTCATAATCCACTCATTCATCACTGGATGCCTGAGTTAAAGTGCTTCATTCTTAAATCTGATACTTCTCAGGCAGATTAATACAATTTAAACTTATTAGTGAAAAAATACCACATATAGTATTAAGAACCTGAGTAAAACATTTCTTTAAAAAAAAAATCACACAGAAACACTATAATTATGTACATTATAATTAGGTTTAAGTAATAGTTTAATATTTAAATTGTGTTCAGTAATATGCTAAGGAATATAAAGTTTAGCAAAACTGATGAAACAATTTACAAGGAAAGCAAGTTTACATGTTAGTGTTAAAACTTTTTTCCCCAATTACCTAGTAAAGAAAACCGTTCAAGGGTTCACAGGCAAATGCAACACCTTTTTATTTTTCACAGTTATTGTCAAATACTAAATAATTTAGAAGTATTAATATACACACAAAGTACACTTGCAATAGCATGACCTTTTACTTGAAAAGTAAAGGATGAAATATATTTACTTATTTACACATTGTCTGTAACATTGGACTTTTTAAAAAATTCATTTCTAAAACTTAGTGTTTTTAAATTAAAAACAGTAAGTTTAAAGAGACTGAAACAAAACAGTGCCACCTAAAAGTCACATCATGTCACAAGATACCAATTTCTTCATAGCAGTTCAACTAGTAAGACTTAGGACTCAAAGTTCATCCTAAATTATAGAGTATTAGAAAAAAATCTAGCAATGTTTAAATATAATGAATCATACTGCCATAAGGGAGTACCCTTCAAAAATGAAACACATGACTGTAGAGGGCTCAAAGGGCTGAGTGCATGCATGCCTTGCATATGGGAGGCCCAGGTTCAAGCCTAACACTGCATGGTCCCTGACCACTGCCTGCAGCGACCCCATGACTCCAGAATGTGGGCTGTGCCAGGCTGAAACACAAACTTACCCCCACATATAAAAAATGAAACACAGTAAAGCGCACATTTTTTTAAACTAGCAAACTCCTGAACTGCTGTACAATAAACTTTGTTTCTTCTTTCCTTAGACACAGTCTTTTAACTTTTCAAGGCGCTTTCACTACATGCCTTGAATACATGTATCAAGATTAATACACTAATCTGGGAAAAGTTTTAAAGGAATTCATGTAACAAGTATCCCCCACTATTTAAATGACTTAAGAGTTTTCTTGGATCTGTATCTTTTATGTAAAGCCAACCTTGGTTTTATGTGTCACTTACTACACATTTTACCTAGTCATTCCCACTAAAGATAAAACACTATTATCTTTAAATATATTGAAAAATAGAAGGACCACTTTAGGGAACATAGCACTTCCATCACTGAAGCAGGTCTTTCAGAAGGGAAGGTAAACTAGAATAAAACTTGACTTTCACAGTTTTATTATTGTTTTTCAGTTTCATACTAATCTGACGATCAGGACTACTTAAATAACATTCCATTCTGACTCACGGGGTTTTTTACAAAATATTTTTGAGAAAGTTAATAAAACACTGTAAAAAATATAACCTATAGCTTATATCTTACCATTAAAGGATCTGTTACACTCCATGTAAAGTGACCCTGTGACTCAAAGATGCAGTTTGGGTTCCAACCCATTAAGTGACCACAATTTTTGCAATGTCTTGCAACTATTTAAATACTGCCAAACTTCAGTGAGGAGGCAAGTGGAAGCAGCAGCGATGGCTTACTTGCTAACACAGGTTCCATCGGGCACTCAAATGGCTGTTCTTTTGTTCACTGAAAGAATCAACCTTCACTTGTCCCTTCTCTGTGACTGCTGTTCCAATCTATAGTCACATATAATTTAAAAAAAAAGACTTAAGTAACAAATGTACATTTAAAAAAAAAGCATATTCAAGAATTCCCTACTTAATCCGACTTTTATCTACTTGAGGTACTTACATTTCACTACAGAATTACTTTTAAACAGGGTATCGTACTAAATCTCCAATCCAAAATGCCTTTCATACACACATTCTCAACCAACCGTTTTTTAGATGCAGAATTCCTTATAGCGTATGTGCAAAATGACTCTTAGCCATAAGACTTGAACAGTGCTACTTTAGAATCAAGCCACGTCCAGCACTCCAGCAGCCACAAGGTGCCGGGAGAGCCAGTCCAGCCCCTCATACAATCCCATGCCGCTCCGAGCATCACAGCCCTGAATGTACCAGCTACGGCCACAACACAGTTTGTGGAGACTAAGGAGTTCAGTGATTTCTTCTACTGAGAGAGCTCCAGCAACATCCTGAAACATAGTTAAAAACCAGGTTTTTATTACTGCCCATAAAAATGACCATTTATACAACAGTTGCTATTTATGTATAAACCTGCTTTATACATAAGACAGGAGCCTGAAGTTAAAACCTAGACTCGCTTTTCAGTAATCTCTGATTAATGACAATTTTTAAAAATGGAGACTTGATTAAAATCATTTATAAATGTAATTTGTAAGAAATCCATATAATGAAAGCTATGCAGCCTAAATGAAAGACAGTAGCTTTCATTCAGCTACATAAAAGAAAAATAAATTAACAGATATGTATTATAGGAAATGGCTTATTTATATACAGGACATAAGTAAGAAAGCAGTAAACTCCCTCCAACAAACCCAGTTCTCAGAAGCAACCACAAGTGACAATTTACTGTTTCTTCTAGAACATTCTACAAAGTGCATGTGCATGCAGTCACATCAAGAAACAGTCCAGTATTTTTGTTGTTTTTCTTTAATATATACCCTGACGATAGATATTATTACCAAGACAAGCATATTTTTCACATTTTTAATACCTGAACTGCATTTCTATGTGTATGCAATACTTATTTTTGGGTTTTGGGCACCTAGTAGAGGTTCTCAAGGCTTAGGTACTCCTGGCTCTTCACGCAGGGATCACTTGTGGTGTGGTTTAGGGGACAATATGGGATGCAGGGTTGCATCTATGTCAGTAACATGCAAAGCAAACACCTTATCTGCTGTACTACGACTCCAGTCCCTGCCACAGTTTCTTTGTTTGCTTTGTCTGGGGACTAAACCCAGTCATGCTCAGGGCTTACTCCTGGTGAGCTCAGTTGCCCATCTAGGATGCCAGGGATTGAAACCAGTTTGCACACAAAGTAAAAGCCCTACCAGCTACACAACCACTCCAGCTCCACAACAATTTCTTAAAAACAGTCCTACACTGACGTTGTATGCCTATCCAAATAGCACATATACAACCGTATTTTTACAAAAATACATTTACAAAATTATGTGTAGGCTAACCTTGGAATATCTGTCTACAGGACCTATCAGAAACAGACTAAAGGGTGAAAGAATATATGCGACTAAAACTCTGACATGTATTGCCAAATTGCCTTTGACGATAATATCTTTGCTAACCACACCAACATGTGAGTCTGAGGACTAGCAAATATTTTCAAAGTCTTCAACAAGTATGATAGGTGAAAAACAGTATTAAATTTATGGCACTTGCATGTCTACAACCAGAAGCAAAGCAAAATGTAGGAGAATTTTTAAGTTTGCTTTTTGGGGGGCCAGAGAGATAGAACACGGGGTGCTTGCCTTGCATGCATTCAACCCAGGTTCTATCCCTGGTATTCATTTGGTCCTATAAGCACCACCAGGAGTGATCCCTGAGTGCCTAGAGCCAAGAATATCCCCTGAGCATCTCCAGGTGTGATGCCCCCAAAACAAAACACTCTCTCTATTTATGTGTACACACACACACACACACACAAATATCCCCTTAGCATCTCCAGGTGTGACCCCCCAAAAAACAAAACACTCTATTTATGTGTACACACACACACACAGGGTTCAAAAATATCTACTGAATACTCCTTAAATCTTTCATGTGACCTTATGATATGGAATACAAAAAACAATTAACATAAGACTCTGATATACAATTATGTACCTGTTTGTTAGCAAAAATCAGGAGCAAAGCATCTCGAAGTTCTTTTTCTGTTAACAATTTTGCAAGTTCACTGTGTGCCTCACCAACTCTGTCTCTATGACTGCTGTCAACAACGAATACAACAGCTACGAAAACCAGAAAAGATTAAAATAAACACTCACTTGTGAAGTTTCAGAAAGAAGATATTTTAATGTCCTCATTATTACAGTTTGGTTATGATTTCTTTATAGTTTGGCTAGAATATCAACTCTTTTAGTTTTTCTTTTATTTTTCCCCTTAAATTTTTGGACCACATCCAGCAGTGTTCAGGGGTTACTCCTAGTTGTTCTTGGGGAACTGTGCAATGTCAGAAATCAAAGCCAGGGCCCCACATCTGCAAGGCAAATGCTCTATTACTGAGTCACATAGCCATCCAACCATCACTACTTCCATAAAGGCTACCTATTAATGGCTGAAGCATGCAGCAAGGACTAGTGGTACAGTAAAAATAACTAGTATCTTTTTAAAGCTTTCATTAATAGCTATATAATTGGGAGTTACAACACTTGTTCTACCAAACATAAACTGTTATATATTAATTAATAGTTTTCTCTTTATCTCATCATTTTCTACCTACTATACTACTTTCTTTACCAAAGATAATACTTTAAATGAATCCATTGCCTTTATTTCTTCCAAGTACTTTATCTATATAGTCCCATGTAGACTGTATGAAAACACAGACTCCACTTAGACTGGACTCAAAACACAGAGCAGAAACTTCTTATCTATTGAATTGATTCTCCTTTGTCATCTTCCTATCGAGTTACATATTTCCAAAGCTTCAGCCATTCTTATGTTCAAAGTTTCATTTTCTCCCCCAAAAATCATTTGCTTGTATTTTTAATATCAAAAATCCCAAAGCAAAATAATTAAGTCTCTCATCTACATGAAAACATCATAACATGCAGAACAACTGACATGAACATACACTTCATCTTTGTTAAAAAACAAAACTGTAAAATGAGGCCAGATGTGAAAAGGTAATTGGTGGAATACATATGACATTAATAGGCTGGTTAACAGCAAATTACTAAGAATCTTTTGCAGATAATTGTGGATGACATTAAAGATGTGAAGCTATTTAAGGTATTTAAGCTATTTTTTTTTTCTGCTTTTGTTTTGTGGCACTAAAGATCAAACGCACTGCAAGGTGATTATAATGGAATAAGTTTTATTATATGTAGCTGCACGTCCATCTGCCACAGATTCTGCTGTATGCTATATAGGCAGCATGCATCTATGATCACTCTTTTATATGTTAACTTTCTAGAGCAGCAGGAGGGTAAATATCCTTAAGTGACTATGTATCTAAGTATGATTTTATGTCCTAATTATGATTTTCCAGGAAATAAAATATACATATCCCATTCTTTCTACATTCTGTTTGAATTCTGTGGCGCTAACTAACAATATTTAAAGGTGCAGCCCAGACTAGGTTAAATAGTTAAAATAACATGCTGAAAACTGGTGACCTAAAGACCTGAAAAATTAAGATAGCATTTCTCACACTTACCTTGGGTATTAAGGTAATAATGTTTCCACAATGGCCTTAATTTGTGTTTTCCACCAACATCCCAAATAGTGAACTTTAGATTTTTATATTCTACAGTTTCCACATTAAAACCTGTTTTCAAAAACAGTTACTTCAATACTGAATTTATGCTTACAGTGAGCAATACATAAAACACTTTGTTCAGACCTGTGTCATGCAAGTCGCCTTTGTAACAGGCACTTCTGCTGCTGCACAGTCAGCTCTGCTGCTAATACACTTACACGGGTCTGTGTCTTTAACTGCTGTTGGCCTCCAAGCCTCTCTCAGAATCCCAAAGACCTCAAATACCCATCAGTGCTGCACAATACCACCCCAGATCCCTACGCCCGGCCTGGTTGAACAGACCTCTTGATTCCTTGCAAATGCCCTGCATTTGTGAGAAAAGCATTATTTCATTTTAATATCCCACCACCCACATTTCAATCCCATGACTACTGAATCTCGCAATTTTTTCTAAAAGGCTGATGTCTTAAAGCCAGGAACGTGTGCATATTCATACCTGACTGGCATGAAGACCATGAGAATTTGGAAGAAAGCTGGGTCTGCCAACAAAAATGTCCATTAAAGAAAAAAGCAATATTCCTACTTACCGATTGTTGGAATAGGCTGCATGAACTCATCCTGTTTTAACTTAAATAAAATTGTAGTTTTTCCAGCACCATCTAATCCTAATGTAACAACTCGAATTTCCATTTTTGGTCCAATATGAACTCTATTGTCCTGTAATTAAGGTATTTTTTTAAATTTCAATTTTAACATGGAATTAAAAGATATGACCACACTTTTGTTAAAAAAACAAAATACCTATTATTTCCTTGTCAACTCCACACCAGGCTGTTTTCACTTGGGGTACCCCAGAGGGGGGCGGGCAAGAGCCCTCCCCACCCCAAGGGACCCAGCCCCGGCAGCTGACTTCCACTACCCAACCATCACCACACTCCAGGCTGCTTTCCGGTCACATCATAAGACACTTCCTACCCATTTTCTATAATTACCACACATGTTTGATGGAGTTCAGACAATAGGCCACAAATCATAGACTATATATATATATATGCCTCTTGGAGACCCCGTCAAGCTACCAAGAGTATCCCGCCCACATAGGCAGAACCTGGCAAGCTCCCCGTGGCGTATGCCAAAACCAGTAGCGATAACAGGTCTCATTTCCCTGAGCCTGAAAGAGCCTCCAATTGTTGTTAAAGACGAGTAAAGAGAGGCTGCTAAAATCTCAGGGCTAGGACGAATGGAGATGTTACTGGCGCCCACTCGAGTAAATCAACAAACAACAGGATGACAGTGATACAGTAGTCTATTCATCCCTGAGCCCACTGAAATTTGAGTTGTATTCCCTAATATACTTGAATCTGATCTTGTCAGACATCAATCATTCCTCTCTAATAAATCTGTTTGTGGGGACAGAACAGTAATACAAGTGGGTAGGTCACTTGTCTTGCATGCGGCCAATCCAGATTCAATACCCAGCATCCTATATGGTCCTCCAAGCACTCCTAGGCGTAAGCCCTATGTATCACCCCTCCCCCCCCAAAAAAAAGCCTCTTAGTAAAACTTCTTATGTGTTTGGTGGTTGGAGCAATAGCACAGCTGGTAGGGCATTTGTCCTACATGCAGCCAACCTGGGTTTGATTCCCAGCATCCCATATGGTCCCCTGGAGCACTGCCAGGAGTAAGTCCTGAGTGCAGAGCCAGGAGTAACCCCTGAGCATCGCCAGGTGTGACCCAAAAAAGCCAAAAAAAAAAAAAGAAAAAAAAAACTTACCTTTTTATGTGTTTTCTGCTTACTTTGTTTTGAGGGACACACCCAATGGTGTTGATAGTTTATTCCTGGCTCTGAGCTCAGGGATCACTTCTGGTGGGGCTCAAAAGGCCATACTGTGTGCCAGGGATAGAATGTGCCTATCAATTAATTATTTTATCTGTCTGGCCCGAATGTGCACTGGTGGAAGGAGGGGCGTTTGATCATTGTGTGATTGTAACCCAAACATGAAAGCTTGTAGCTTTCTCACGCTGATTTAATAAAATTTAAAGAAAAAAGAAAAATTATAAAAATTCTTTTAAAAAGTATATCCACTTACTTTTCAGATTTTCTAGTTTAAACTGAGTCTTTAAATAAGACTTTTTGTAGGCGAGAGAGAGAACAAAAGGGAATGTCCTGCCACAGAGGCAGGGTGGGATGGGGGGTATGGGGGGTGGGAGGGATACTGGGACCCGTGGTGGTGGGAAATGGGCTCTAGTGGAGGGATGGGTACTTGATCATTATAACTGAAACCCAAGCACAAAAATTTGTAAGTCTATAACTGTACCTCATGGTGTTTCACTAATTAAAAAAAAATAAGACTTTTTGTGTTGTTTTAAAATAAGATACAAATTAAAAGGGAGGCCCAGGTTTGATTCCTGACACTGTATGGTTTCTGAGCAGAGCCAGGAATAGCCCCTGAAGGCCAGGTGAAGCCACCATCCCCTAAAAAAAATTGTAAGAAATAAAATTGCTATTAACTTGCCAGAAATATTCTGTTAAAAAATTCATATATATATGCTCTAGAAATTTAGCCCTGTAATGCATCAGTAGACATAAAAAAGTTTTTTTTTAAATAGAGTTGGATAGTACAGTACAAGGATACAGTACAGTATAAGGATAGGGCACTTTCCTTGCACACAGCTGACCCTAATTTGATCCCTGGCACCCCACATGGTCCCTGTAATACCGTCAGGGGTAATTCCTGAGTGCAGAGCCCGGAGTAACCACTGAGCTCTGCTGGGTTGGCCCAAAAACAAAACAAATGTAAATAAAAATAAAACGTAAACGATACATACTGCAACCAATTTCTGCACTCAACAGAATATTGTGGAACCCTCTAACTTTCAAAATTATACAGATCTACTTCTTCATTCCAATTGCTTCATTAGATTCAGTGAGTCACGATTTAACCAAACCTCAATTGATGTTTGGTCACCTCTAATTTTGCATGTTTCAAAAATACTGCAATAAATATCCACACCTAAAGGTGTAGCCCAAAAAACCAAATAAATAAATATATGAATTAAAAAATTCTTAAACACTGGAAAATTGAAAACTGGGAAAATGTTAGAGATTTATTTACGTAACTTGGGGACGACACCTAGCTGTCCTCAGAGCTTACTCCTGGCTCTACACTCAGGGATCACTCCTCAAAGGGCTCAGGGAACATACAAGATGCCGGAATCAAAACTGGTTGGCCATGTACAAGGCAAGCATCCTATTCACTGTACCATTGCTTCAGCCCCTTACTAAGTTTTTAAGTGTGACAGCAATATTTTGTTATACATTTTAAGAGTCCTTACCCTTTTTATACAACAGGAGTACATTCATAACTAAGTCATATGATGCTAGAATGAAACAAAATGTTGGATTTTTTTTCAAAATAACCAGGAGAAACTGAAGGTAGGAAAGGAAGTAGGGAAGGTAATATTGAAAAAATTTAACTACTAAAAGAGGGGAATGGGTATAAGGAGATTCATTATATAGCCTTTTCAAGCTAATTTATCACAGCATGTAAAACAAGTGAGATTTGTCAAAGACATAACCCAAAATTAAGTATGATGCATTACCTTTGTGAAAGTAACAGGTATGCTAGCATCTAATTGAATATGATCTGCAACCTCTGTGAACTGCTGCTGCTGTTTCTGCAGTGTTTCTAGTAACCTTGTAATTTCTTGTTTTGCCAAGACAACTCTGCAGTCATCCTAGGAAAGAGAAGGCAGCATTTCTGAAAACTTGTTAAGAAAGATTCATCACTAAAACTCAAGTTCCTTAAACGGTACAATATTCAAAGATAACTTAATACATTTGACTAGCATAAGAAAGCTGGGCATTAGTAAATGATTTAGCAAATAAGATGAATAAATCAGAGTCTATCAACAGGAGCTGGAGAGAGAGTGCAGGAAGGAGCTAAAGAGCTTGTTTTGCATGCAACCAACCCCAGTTTGAATCACCAGCACCAAATATATCCTCAGCTCAGGAGTGACCACTGGTATAGACCAAAATCAAATAAAATATTATACAGGTATAAAAAAGACTGGTGGGGGATGTGGGGGGATGCAGGGGGTGTCGCCAGCGAATCTGTTTAAATCTCACCTTTTCTCAAGGATTATTAACCTATTTAATAATTGAATCCTTTGTATCCATCCATTTTTCCTTAGCTCTGATCACTTCTTAATCTATTCATAATATAATTATTTAGATATGATTATGGGCAGTTTTCTTTCTAGAATGCTAATTTGAGACTATGGATTTTTTGTTTTGTTTACAGATATATACTATATACACAGAAGGTTCACGGTACATAGTAGGCCTTCAATACACATCTGCTAAAAAGCCTCATCCTTCCCTACTATTCCTTGAAACTTAAAAAATGTTTTCTTCTCATAACTAGTAAAATTGTATGGTGTTCAATTACCTTTGCGGTAATTGAGCATTTAAAAGTATAATTAGGTCTAAAATGTTAAGATCATAAATCAGAACAAACCTAATAGGTCCACATTAAGAATTCAAAATCCCAATTTCATCTGCATTACCACAGAGGCAGTACCATAACATTAACAACTACCAGTAACTTTAACACAATGCTTTAGAAATTTTAAAAGACTTCTAAGTATCTTAGCAACTATAACCATATTTTTGGCTTTTTTTTTTTCTCATCATACCCAACAGGGCTCAGGGATTACTCCTGGCTATGCACTCAGGAATTGCTTCTGGAAATGCTCAGGGGACCATACAGAGTGCTGGGGATCTAACCCAGTCAACCACATACAAGTCAAGAACCCTACCCACTGTACTGTCACACCAGCCCTATTTTTGTACAATATAAAAATACTTTCAAATACTAAGTAAATGTGATCTAGGGCAAAATAATTTCTAGTATTTCTGTTATAGTTTTATTACTATCATGAGCAAAAACAATATCTGATAAGTTCTAAACTACAAATAACTTAGAATTAGAAAAATGAACAAGATATATTATTCACTCACATGCAGGTAAAAAAGTACAATATATGCACATGTGGTAACATTTTCTTTATACTTGAAACATCAAAATCATAACTGTCATGATACTGACATCAAAGTTAAGATTCACTAAATTAGAGCAGAGGTTAAGCAGTACGTGCTGGAGAGACAAAGGCCACAAAACATACCTGGCCATGTAGCAGAAACCATTAACTAAGCATAAAGGTACTATATGCAGTAGACACAAAGCGTTTATTAAATTAACAAAAGCCTAGTATGTACATCAGCTCTTACCTACTAAGCCTCAGAAATCTTCCTGCAGAGGCTATGTGATGGCCATTTTTAAATTGCCTACCTGCTGCAGAGTCTTTTCACAATGGAGACACGCTGTTGAAACCTGGGACAACAGAATAGTCATATCTTCCTGTTGCTGCCTAAGCCAGATCAGTTTTTCTCGAACATGAGCATCCACAACACTTAGAGCCATTTCTTCTTGACGACAGAGTGTTTCATGCAGATCAGAAAAATAAGCTCGGACACATGACCTGGCATTCTCTGCAGTACCTGGTACCTAAGAAAATAAGTTTAAACATTTTAACCATAAATGTTTTTCCATGAAACAATTAAAATTTATCATCTATATATGTACATCCTTATGAGTTCCCCCAAAAAAAATTTTTTTTTGGGGGGGGGGGTCACACCTGGCAGTTCTCAGGACTTAATCCTTGACTCTGCACTCAGGGATCCCTCCTGGTGATGCTCAAGGGACCATATAGGGTGCCAGAGATCGAACCCAGGCTGGCCATGTACAAAGTGCCTGCCACTTATTTTATTCACTGGAGTGTATTCTCAATTTTAATACACAGAAATTCAACATCCAGATTAAACTTATCTTTTGTTTGTTTGGTGGCCACATCTAGGAGTTCTCAGTGCACCCCCCTGGTTCTGTACTCAAGGATCATTCCTGGCAGTGCAGGGGATCAAACTCAGGTTGCCTACATGCATGGCAAGCACCTTACCCACAGAAAAGAGACACAGGGGAGAGATAGATTTTATAGAAAGGGAGGGGGTGAAACAGAGAGAAAGAGAGAGAGAGAGAGAGGGGAGAGAGACGAGAGAGAGAGAGAGAGAGAGAGAGAGAGAGAGAGAGAGAGAGAGAGAGAGAGAGAAAATACATATAGGTCCAGAACATGTGCGATGGGAGCAACTCTGCCATGTTGAGATCCTTGGCACTGAATGTGATTTCTAACTACATCACATCTAGGAGTGTGTGAGTATAACAAAAAGGGCTGTAAACCATGTGAGGCCCATAACTAAAGAGTCGTAGTCAGGAAGTATGATCTCTAGTGAGCATATGAGCACCACAGTAACCTCTGATGAGCAAAACTGTAACTTGTGCACCTCAACTCAAGTGCAAACCCCAAAGACCACACATGTAAGTACTGCTGGCAACTAAAGGAGTGCAAATCTCTGTGAGCACCACCACTGAAAATGTGTGAGCACTACAACCAGGTGTGTGTGCAACCCCTACTCATCACATCAGCAGCAACCAAGGGAAGGTGGAAAGGAAATAAGTTTTAAAAAATCCATACATGTTCTGTGTGAGCCATTCCAATTCCATCTTCCACTATCTGTTCACCTCCTTCAATGTGCTGAACGATTCCAACTAATTTTCTAGAATAATCGGAGATTTCCTCAGTGAAGGTTCGTATGCAGTGAGCCATATCTAAAATTGATGCTCGGATCTGGTTAGCTTCCGGTTCCAGTACCGAATGCTATAAAATGAAAGATTACATAGAAATAACTCAGTACTAGTCCATGACATAAAGAACTACTTGAATCTCTCCTATAATTTTTAAACAGAAGTAATCATAAGTGACTTTTATAATACATTTACAAAGAGTATTGACTAAAATGGCAAAAAAATTAATTCCAGTCTTTAAAAAAAAAACCTATCTTGCAAAAAAATAATCTGAAATTTGAAAGTCCATTATCACTAACACCCCCAGAGACACCTCTAAAATAAACATAAGCAGTCTGTCAATGGACATAAATAGTCAAACCAACCTGTGCACTATGAAAAAGGGTACAAACAAAAAAGTTTTACTTCCTATCACTTTATTTTTAATTAAAGAATCTAAAAACCACTTGAAATTTTTATTATGACATTCAGAAATTAAATCTTTTGTCTTTTCTTGCTACAAGATTCATTCATTACTTAACTCTTCCTCAATTGTCATAAAAAGCCAGTCCAATAAAAACAAAAAGTAAAATAATAAGCCTGGGAGAATTATTCACTTATATTCATACCTTGTGACCTTGGTGTTTTCCATATTCTTTGCATACACAGCACATAAGTGGGCCAGACTGACAGCCTTCTTCCAAGCAAACAAACTCAATGGCATGCACCTGATGCTGAGAGCACATGGTCTTCTCATGAGGCTTATCGGCTAGTGGCACTCGCCTGTGCTTTGCTAATGTCTTTGTAGAGTGAGTAACCTGAGAACACTCTGAGCACAGGTGAGTGGCACACACAGTGCAATATACAGATGCAACATGAGATTCATCTTCATCACAACGGATGATGCTCTAAAGAACGAAAAATTCGGGTCTTATGTAAAATCAACTGTGACATAATTTATTTTTTCAACAGGAAAGTTCATAATGTTTTTTCTTTCTTTTTTTTTCTTTAACTGACCAGCCTTTACGTCTGAAAACACTGTCAATTAAGTACAAAATTTAAGTTTATTTCATAACTCATCTTAAAAAGCATTCACTTTTACCAGCTATTTCCAATGCTGCATCCCAGTATCTGACATGAACTTGAGAATAAATCTATACTCATAGGTTTCATCAAAGATAACACAAAAGAAGTTGTCTTTTAGTAAAACCGAATATATACATTAAATACACCCCTACCTCTCTAAATTACTGTCATGATGATGTACAGAAGCCTCACAAATACAGATGAAGCACAAAACTTGCATAACCAGGATAACATGAACATCAGAATAAACTATCAAGTTTATCGGTGAAATGAACACTGTATGACTGAAGCCCAATGATGAACAACTTTGTCACTCTGCATCTCATAGTAATTCAATAAAACAAAAAACTACTTTAAAAAAAAAAAAAAAGCAAACACAGATGCCCTGTAACAGTGATGTGGCTCAATCTGATTAAAGGTCCTGGCTGGATTCTATCACTAGCACAATCAAAAGAAATAAAGGGGGAAAAAAACCCCAAACACACACAAAACACAAAATTCTCAAATTACATCAGATTACAACCTGGGAAGTACTTTTATTTAATTAGATCCCAGGTGAAGCCCAGGGTTGTTTGTTTTTTTCCCTTAAGCTTCACAAGTGAGTTTGGTAGAAAGCCACTGATTTTATAAAAATTTTAAGAAAGGTTTCTATGTTCCATTAAGCTTCTAAATATTATTTCTAATTCTTAATTATTGTGTGGTTCTGTTTTCTGAGTCATGCACCTAGTAGTGCGGGGTCTCAGGGAACCATATAGTGCTTGGAGACTGAACTCAGGCCAGTCATGAAAAGTATGTGTTGAACCTAATTTTTTCTTTTCTTGTTTTTGGGCTGCACCTAGTGGTAATCAGGGCTTTCCCTCGGCTCGGTGCTCATGCACCTACCTTATGTACTCTCTCTTCATCCACCCTAATTTTTATTATTTATTGAAAGTAGGAAAAGTTTACATTTCATAGAATCAAGAATGTTTGCAGAGGCTGGAGCTAGTACACTGGGCAAGGCACTTCCCTTGCACACAGTACACTCAGAGGTCCTCGGGGGACCATCTGCAGTGTCAGGATTCAAACCACTGTGCAGCCAAAGCCTCATGCAAGGCAGTGCCTTACACAACCTCTGAACCATCCGTCCAGCTTTATTCCTGCTCTCTTTAGAAGGCAATTTGCTTCTGCACTCATTGGTCTCTTTTACAAAGCTCCTCTTTGTGCTGTAAGTTAACTGATTCAATTTTGCATCCTCTGCCTTAATAGTTTATACAATCTTCTTATTTGGGGGGAAAGGGTGTTTTGGGCTCGAAGTGTTAGTGGGCTATTGTTGGCTTTGAGCTCACAAGACCATAAGGGATCAATTTAAGGTTGGCTATGTATAAGACAAATATCTTAAATCCTGTATTCTCTCTCTACCCCTATAGTCTTCTTAATCTTCCTTCATTTAATGCCATGATAAAATTGAATTCTAATAAGAAAAAACATTTACACATAAAACAAAGTCTTGACCAACATTTTTCAGAAAATTCAAGTTTCAATTAATTTCTGTTCTCTTGAGAATAATTTGTCTTCAGAACTGCAGGCAGTGAAAAAATCTTTCTGGGTTCATAGTTAATGTAGCAAGTGAGGTAATTCTGTGCTTTTAATAGCAAGCAATTTTAAAGAAGAACTTATGTTCATAGCCATTTTATTTCAGCAAACTATCAATACCTCTCCAGATATTCCAATGGCTTCCTCTGCAGGCCCATACTGACCAATATGTCCATTCTGCAGTCGTTCTAAAAGCTCCAGTAAAGCAAAATTCTTTTTCAATCCCCAGACACCCGAATCTCCTAGAATATAAAAATTAAAGGTCTAGTAAAAAATACTGATTTTACCATAGTTTAATCACTAATAATGTCTAGAGTTAAAAATTCAACCCTTCAATTTTCTTTTTTATGCCTAAACAACTATCTTATTAACAGTATTTATAAAAAGCCATCATTCTACATAACACATACTTTAAACTTCTTACTTTCTGTCATTTATCCTAATGTTATTTTACTGCTTTTATCACATTTACTAAAACAAGTGTTTTCAAATATTCATATAGTATATGAATGCAAATATTTTATAGCACCCTATTTTAGATTGCAACCCAAGACAACATACATGTATACAAAATTTATACTCAGCATTACAGCACACTACTCTGCTGCATTCTACTTTTATAAAAAAGTTGTTCATAACCAGTTAATTTATTTTATAACCACAAATAAGTAATGACCCATTGAACTGAAAAAAAAAAAAAAACACAACAAAAACTCCCTAAGTAAACAGAACTAGAACAGGTAAAGCTCTAACCCTTTTCTAATCCAGAATTCTGCAGCAGTCAATAAATACATAAATTTCATCACACAAATAGTCTCTCCTAATGAAAGTGAGAAAAGGATATGGCTCAGTAGTTCAGCACATGCTCGCATACTAAGGTCTAGATTCCAACACTAACACTGTAAATGATAAAAATATTTTTTATAAAGGGAAATTTGGATCCAGAGAGATACTGTAAGGGTTAAGGCACTTACCTTGCAATGCAACCGGCAACAGTTTTAGCCCTGAGCATTGCCAGGTACAACCTAACTCTACTCTCACTTTCCCCCCCACCCCCCCATCCCCCATGAACCAAAAAGGGGGAAACTCCCTATGAGCCAGCAATGCTACCCCCCTGGATCTTTATCTGAATATCAAACACTTATCTGAAAGAATATTTGCATTTCTATGTCCATAAGAGCATGATTAACTCTACCTACACTAAAAATAGAATCAATCTGAACGAATTAAACGGCCCCTCAAGCATGACCAAGTGCAATGCTGTAGCCCCCAAACATCACCGGGGTTTGCCCTGGTGGTCCTCAGCACCACTAAGTGGAGGACTTCAAACCATCAACTCCACTTGGCAAGTATCTGAAATACACACTTCTCCAAAAATCAAGTACAGCTGACCAACTGGCGTATGAGGGATGCCCATCATCTATTAGGAAATGCAAATCAAAACAACTGAGACATTACCTCACATCTTTGAGAAAGGGTTGATACCCAAAAAACAAGGGGAAAAAAACATACTAAAGAGGACATGGGGCTTAGAAACCCCTGTAACACTGCTGATAGGAACGGAAATTGGCGGATCCATCAAAGAAAGTACTATGAAGAGTCCTAAAATAACTAAAACTATAAATTCTATACCACAGACTCATGTTCCTGCTGAGCATTATACCCAAAATATAAAAACATTAATCTTAAGAGATATATGCACATCCATGTTTACTGCAGCATTATTATAACAGCCAAAAAAACAATAGACAAGAATGAGAAACAATCTAAGAATCAGGATAAAGAAGTGGTATATAGATACACTGAAATACTATATAGCTATTTTTAAAAAAGATAAATTCCAGTCATCCAGAGCATCCTCCACCCAGATCCTCCAAATTCCAGTAGGCAGGGGTCACACCCACCAACTGGTCCCCCCCAAGTGCCGTGTAATCCCATCAATGGCCAAGACTCAGAGACTATAAAACCCAGCTCCCAGAAGCAACATCTTATCATCTCATTCCTACTTTGGACAAACTGGCAGGCTACCGAAGGTAACCTGCCCACACGGCAGAGTCTGGCAAACTCCCCGTGGCGTACCCAATATGCCAAATACCAGTAACAATGAAGGGCCTCATTCTCCTAACTCTGAGAGAGTCTTGAATATGGCACTTTTGTAAAAAATCTCAGGGCTAGGACGAAGGAGACGTTACTGGGGCCTGCTCGAGGCAATCGACGAATATAACAGGATGGTTGTGATTATGATTGTGATTGCAAAAATTAAATGACCAAGAGGCTAAAGAGAAATACAGTGAATAGAATGTTTTCCATGCATGCGCTAACCTGGGTTTGATTGCAATGGTCCCCTGAGCACATCCAGGAGTGATTCCTAAGTAAAGAGCTTGGAGTAAGCCCTTAGCATCAGTGTGTGCTCAAAACCAAAAACATTTAAAAGTTAATAAATAAACTACATAAAACAAAAACAAACTTTTAGACTACAAGACCAATTAGAGTTGCCGGAAGGTAAGGGTAGACATGTAGGTAACAGAGGAGACAACCGTAATATTAACTGCACTTTTATTGGTTAATTTAATGTACATATACATATAATGCACAGCTAAAGCTTATAATGTATTTCAACAATTTTAAAATGGCAGATTAAAACAAAGACTCTTCCACTGGCAAACATTATCTATTTTTGGCTTTTTGGGTCACACCTGATGATGCACAGGGGTTACTCCTGGCTCTGCACTCAAGAATAACTCCTGGTGGTGCTTGGGGACCATATGGGATGCTGAGGATCGGACCCAGATTAGCCATGAGCAAGGCAAATGCCCTACCCATTGTCCTATAGCTCCAGCCCCTAACATTAACATTTCTATATAAATGCTTATAAAGAACATAGTATACATTATGTACACTTTACAGAATAAAAAGCTAAATAAAAGATTATTAGAATAGAGATATCTCAACCTTACTTTTATTATTTGTTAGCTATGATTAAAATAATGCTATTTAGAATGCTAATAACACTGTGCTGTATCCGTTCTCTGTCATATGGGCATACCAGTTTTTCAATTAAGGATCACCAAAATCTTAAGAAACCAGTATTTCCCCTGTAAGGAAATATTCTGAGACAAGGTTTCTTAGCATTTTGAAGTTTTCAATCTAAAATGTGTTTTGTTTTTCTTGGGGGTGGAGGGCTAATCTGAACATGTTCTACTTGACATATAATATGAATAAATTAAAGTCTTAATTCAGTAACTATAGGAGGTGAAGGAACAACTTTTTAAAAACTTATATTACAGAAATATCTATTATCAGAAGGAGTATAAACTAGAGAGCCTAAGTTAGTCAAACAGCTATTCAAATATTTTAAAAATGTAATTATTTTCAAATCTGAAACTCCCCGTGGCGTATTCAATATGCCAAAACCCAGTAACAATGATGGTTTTCATTCTCCTGACCCTGATAGAGCCTTGAATGTGGCACTTTTTAAATCTCAGGGTTAGGACGAAGGAGACGTTACTGGGGCCTGCTTGAGGCAATCGATGAACAACAGGATGACAGTGATACAGTGAGTGATCCCAAGGTGATAATTCTTTTGAAAATTTTAAAGGTAGTCAGGAAACTAAAAAACCCACATGTCCTTTAAATTTATTTTAACAGAAAATAAGTAGCAGTTAGGAGAAACTACAAGCAATTACCTCTGATATCAAAAAAAAAGAAATAAAGCTAAGACAAGCTTTTTGTATCTATTTGTATTATCTATTTGTATTATTATTATTATTATTATTGGTATTTATAAAGAAACATAAAGAAAACACTTCATTGCATTAATGACTTCAGGCAAATGAATCTTCTTTATTCTCTGAATCAAATTAGCAATGTTACTCAGATGTCTTAAAGCTCTTCATACTGTATTAAATCTTAGAAAACCCCCAACCTAAACTTCTGAGCTGTAGCCTTGGAGGGCCCCAAGCATCACTGGGTACCCCTGGTAGCTTGTAAGCACTACAAACCAAATACACCATTAGCCCACACCACCACAAGTCCTAACAATGACTGGAGTAGCCCCAGAACTATGACGCTTTGCACCAGTACTACAGTGTGTGGCCTTAAGTACATATAAAAACAAAGCAGACATGTTTTCCACTGATACAACATTGCTAAGCCTTAAACACATACATATACATATATATATATATTTTTCCCCCTACCTAAATCTGTTACTTGTCGGTCAAAAGGGCAACGAATTGCTCTTCCATGAAGAGGCAGACGAGTGAGACAATCATGACAAACTGTGTGGCCACAAAGCAGAAGGCGAGGGACTTTGTCTCCTTGTAAAGAAAAGACGTCTTCACAAACTCCACACTCCAGCACCTACATTTTGGAAACGGAACACAGGCTCTTTAAATTACTTAAAAGTATAAACATATTTAGTTTTAAAAAGTGATCTAACATACTGAATCAATCTTGTTAAGCTCCTTTATTCCCCCACAAGGGAAAAAAAAAGTGGACTATAAAGACTTAAATCATCCTCTATCATTTCATCTAATAGATCTACCAAAATTATCACAGTAGAACAGTGCAATGTCCCTGAAATGCTGTGATGTTTAATTAACATCGTCATGCTCTTTTGGAGAAAAAAAAATCCATATAACTGGGGGCCTTAATTCCCGTGCAATAATCAAATACCCAATAACTTAATAGGACAGTTTTCCAAACTGGGCTACACTTTCTTCAGAGGGGCACTGGAACAATCAATTGGAAGGGAAGCTTCCAATTGATATTTGTTATTTTTCACTTACAGAGGGAAATCACTAGTGCCAACGATAATTTACCCCTATAAATGAAAAAGAACAAAGATACTGTATTTCTCAAGTACTGTTCAGTAGTCACTTTTTTCATTTAAGACAGAGCAAAAAAGCCATCACTTAGATTTAAATATCAACTTCTGGTTCTCAATTAATATGCCCCTAGGATAGAAAATATTTTGTAGATCTAATTCTAATTGCAATGTATGGCTTAGTCAAGGCCATATATTTGATCAAAAGAGAGAGAATAATATTAATTGGCAAGTCTGATATTTGAGCCCATGAACTTCTATGTGAAAAAAGTGTCCACATATGTCACTGAAGCACTTTTCAGCACTCCCTAATACAATTATGTGTTATACAGTTTTAATTTTAAAATACCCAACTATTTATTCTACCTTCAGTCTTTGTCATTAAAACAAAATACAGGGCTGGAGAGATAGCACAGGGCTAACGAACTTGCCTTGCCTCCTGGCTCAACCCCCAACACAGTTCATCCCCTGAGCACCACCAGGAGTGAGTCCTGAGCACAGAGCCAGGTCCAGTCCCTGAGTCGAATCTTGTCAAATCAGGTCCAAAAACCCAAAAATAAATTTAAAAATAAAACAAAGCACAGAAATCATCTCAATATACCACATTCCCTGTGAATAGCATTGTTAATCAAATCTGGAATAGCAAATGTATTAAATGTCTTTAAACGACAAATGGTATTCACTCAAAATTTGCACAAAGGTGCTTAAAGTAACAAATTGCTATTTTCATGTTACTTAAAAGCATGAAATAACAGGGTTATAATGAACGATATAGTTATGTAACAGAAGAACCATTTAATGTATTAGCTATCCTACCTTGTCACTAAGACGCCATTTTATATATTAGCATATGTATTTCAACTTTTACCTTTCATCTATAAAAATTACAGATTTTAAAAATTTCAATTTGTACCTCTTATACGTTATACTTCTTAGAAATTAGGGCATGACTATATTGCTAAAAGGACTATCTTAATGCACAACCCAGGCACATTTACACATAAGATAAAAATTTAAAAGAAAAAAAAAATTTTAAAGAGCCCCTAGTATATCAAATGGTGCTTTAACAAACAGGCATACTTTTGAAATTTTTAAGGCAAACATACTAACAAAGTAGAAAAGCAGTAATACCCACTCCAATGACAATTTTTTAAATTTCAATTTAGTCTTAAGTCTCTACTTAGAAAATCACAATTCAATAAATAAAAGATCATAGAGCGACTCTAATCATTAAAAAAGGCTCCCTCACGTCATATATGCTGTGTTTTTAGAGAATAACCTTATTAATATGTAATATGAATCAATACCAAATACAGCTGTGTAAGCAGAAATGTATTATTAGTTATCATAAAAACTAAACATTGAGTGAAAAATCACACGGGTCTAATATTCAAGATCTTAAAAGGACTCAGGCATTATTTGGTACAGGGATTTTTTTCATCCTTGATGCTCATGAAATTCTCTTGTGCATTGTTCACCTGCACAAACCCTATCACAAACAGTATTGCAAATCACGTTGCCCAGAACAATTTTTTTTTACTATTTTTTAAAAAGTCACCATATAATCCCAGCAATCAAATTCCTAGGAATATGCACACAAAAAAATAAAATACATGTGCACACAAACTCAGCTGTACACAAATGCTCATAGCAGCATCGTCAAAAACAGCCCAAATATCCATCCCAAACTAAATAAAAAATCACTTGTGGAAATGTAGAACACAGACTGATGCCAACTTCATGAGAACCAGTGGGAGGAAGAATTCACCAGTAGCTTTTGTTCCCTTTTGTTTTTGCTTTTTTTTTTTTTGCAACTCAGACACTCTATTATGTAGTCAGGAATGAGAATGACCAACATTCTGGAATGCAGTTTCTTCTGCAAATCACTGAGATCAGTTCCCTCTTCCAAATCCTTCCATACATAAATGACTTTAGGAAAAGGAAAAGGAAAACGAATTTAACCTATTTCAATGACGTTATTTTGTCCTTAGTAAATACGTATTGGAGAACTTAACACGTGGCGCCGCGCAAACTCCACGCACAGGACACGAGAGACAGACCAGCCTTTGTGCCTGCCCCGTCTACGGTGCAGACTTGTTCACGAAAGCGTGGGCGGATTCCAGGAACCGTCCCATCCAGCCGCTATCGCTGTCCGGTTCCCGAAGTCGAGCATCCGCGAAACGCCGACCTTCCGGCGCTCACCTACCCCTCGGCTTCTTCCCCGGTAAAACAGGCGGCAACAACCCCCTCCCGCAGCGGTACCAACGAGCCGAAAGACCTGACAACGCCTGCAAGGAAGAGCGGCCCATTTGATCTTATCATGTTTTCTTTTTTTTTGGGGGGGGGGGGGTCGTGCACGCCTGCTGAGCGTTTGGCTGCAAGCGAAGGGCCCGGGGACCGGCCAGCCCAGGCCGCCGTCACAGGCCCACTCTCTCCTCCGCACCGCGACCCGCGCGCGCGGCCAAGCAGGGGGGGCTGCCGGGAGCGGCCGGCCACGCCACCAGGAGCCCGCGGGCACAAACGTCGCCGAAAGGGGCGGCCAAGGCGGGCGGAGCGGCACGCGGCCGGGCCGAAGCCGCCGGGCCCGCAGCACGGCCGCCCCCCTCCGCGCCGGAAACGCGGGCGGCCGCGCCGGAGAACGGAACGCGCAGACGGCCCGATGCAGGCGTCCCTCTCTACCTGCCTGCGCCAGGTCCCTCACCTTCACCACCGCCGTAGCCCGGCTGCCCTGCCGGGCGCAGTCCAGGCCCGCTCCGGGCTTGTTTACCACCAGGGCCGCCATCCCCGGAGGACCGCGCCGCCCCCGGGCCGTCACGGCCGTCTCCGAGGGGGCGGGGCAGCGGCGCCGGCCCAGAAGCCTCCGCGCTCCGGCCGCCGCGCCGGCGCAGTGCGACCCTGCGCGCCCTGGGGGCGGGCCCCCCGCTCTGTCGCGCCGCACGGCCTCGTACGCGCAAGCGCTTTGCCTGAGCCGCTCTGGAAATTCATGGAGGACGTGGAGGCCTAGTCCCGGAGGGCCGGGAGAGGAATAAAACAGTTTCGGAGACGGGACTCCCGCCGAGTTACCCCGAGTGCGTGGGCGGCCGGACGAGAGGGGGACCACGTGTCCCGGCACCAAACCGGGCCCTGCCTGGGGACTACGACTCCCAGGGTGCGCCTCGCCCGCGCCGCGGTCCCGGCCGGGAAGCCTCGCGCGCTCAACGTCCGGGGGCGGCTTCCGCTGCGCGACGGGGCGTCTAGGAGGCCCGGACGTTCGGTCTCGGGACGGCGAGAGATGGCCTTGGCGGGAGGAGGCCGCTGGGTCCGCGAGGGACGAGAGAGGAGAAGCTGAGGCGCTGACGGGCAGAACTGCTGAGGGAGGTCGAGCGCCTGATCTTCCCGCAGAGCGCGTTTCTGTTTCCCTTCGGACGGGGTCAGGCCGCGCCGGCCTCCGTGGGCGACATGGAGGTGAACCCCCCTAAACAGGAGCACCTGCTGGCCCTGAAAGGTAAGTCGTAGCGGTCGGCTTGTTCCGTGGTTTGGGGTTTCTCCTGCCGGCGCTAGTTCTTGAGCCCGTCGCCACACACCCCTGTCCCTGGAACGTCCCTCTGGAGCACTGTCGCCTGGCCCGCTCCTTCCCGGTCCGGGCGCCGAGGGGGCGGAGTCCTGCGGCTTCTCCTCTGCTCTGCAGATCTGAGGAGAAGAGCTCGCCGGCAGATCTCTTGACTCGGACGACTCCTGCTCCTGCGACCACCAGATCGCTTTTTGGCGGCAGCGGCCGGCGTCGCCGTACTCTGTTCTCAGGGGGCACTGTGCGCCGAGATGATTGACCGAGGGCGTCTCGGAGGGTTTCTTGTGGCAGTTTCCCCTCGGCCGTCGTTTCAGGCAGCACTGGTGAGGTCGCCAGGCTTCGGCTTCAGCTGTGCAAGCGGCTTGTCGTTGCACACCGGTGCCAGGGACCTCGAAACCCGTAGTGCCATAATACTGAGCTGGGTTTGCTGAATTGACTCGCTTGCCTCAACGGTATTGAAACATGGCCAGGACGTCTTCAGGCGAGAATTGTCGAGCCGCAGCAATTCTTGTGTCGGGCTGATGATTCTGTTAAATTATTGCCTGGGGAAAAAGCAGCAGGGTAGAATTTTTCTGGAGCTCCTCTTTTTTAAAAACTTCTGTTTGAGGTGTTTTCAGTTTCATTTCATCTGTTTTCTGCGGCTGCAGATGCTTCTTTTGTATCTCTCGGACGCTCCGCTCGGGTCCCCAGGTCCTTCTTAGATGGAGCTGAGAAAGTGTGTAGCAGTCTTTAGAGTTCCATTTAATCGCGCCTACCTTGTGACGTCCATCGTGAGGGACCTTTATCCCCTACGCCTGATGTCGGCATCTCGCGTTCCATGTAGCGTAGCACCATCCCATCATATCCTGACACCCAGGGTTAACAGGATTGTCTCTGATAAACAGCATCAAGTAATGCAGTCACAGGCCCAGGATGCTCCCCCAGCCTGAGCAAGTGGGCTTGGCGGAAATGAGTTATCGAAGGAGGAAAAGAAGAAAAGGGGGCCTGGAGCGATAGCACAGCGGGTAGGGCGTTTGCCTTGCAGCGGCTGACCAAGGTTCGATTCCCAGCTCCCATATGGTCCCCTGAGTGCAGAGCCAGGAGTAACTCCTGAGTGCAGAGCCAGGAGTGACCCCTGTGCATTGCCGGCTGTGACCCAAAAAGGAAAAAAGAAAAACAAGCAAAAAAAAGAGAAAAGTGACTGTGTATCTCTCAATCTCATATGTACAAAGGATTTAAGAACTTCCAAGAACATAAAGCTAGGACCAGGCAGGCAGTATTTCCCTTCCTGCCTTTGTCTTTCCAAGACTGTTGCCTCCTAGTGAACAAAACAGTCATTTCAGGGATGGTTCTATTACTGGAAGCTTTAATGGGGATTTGGAAGAGTCCCCTTCCTTTGGGATAGCTGCTTCTTGTGATTTCATATAAATTAAAAACAATTAGACACAGTTAAATTCCAGTGATGTGGAAGCTAGTAGCTATTGGAGATTTCAAAACATTTCAAAATACCTAGGAGAGTGTTTTTAGGATAAAAGGACGATGCTTTGAAAATGCTGGGAATTTCAGCTACTTAAAGCTCTGATACTACAGCAAGGGGAATGTTTGCCTTGCATTAGCCATCCCAGGTTTGATTCCTGGCATCCCATATGGTTCCCTGAACACCACCAGGAGTAACTCTTGAGTGCAGAGCCAGGAATAACCCCTGAGCATCGACAGATATGATTAAAGAGAAAAAGAAAAGAAAAAAAAGGCCCTATTCTCCATTATCCAAGCTGATTGTGAACTTTCACAAATTTTCATTTTCATGATGTTGGGTGAATATATGACTTCCTTTTTCTATGTATAAACCCGTAAAGAACCCTGAGTACATAAGTGTCCTTGGAGTAAAACCATGAATGATTTCAGACAGTAATAGACAATAATGAAGGAATATTAAGGGCCCCATCTCATAGTATCAAGTACTAGAAGAAGCAAGGAAAAAAATACAAACACATTATTAATCTTGAAAGAATATGCTTTTCTTTATATCCACACTAAAATTACAGATTTTAAGGGGCCATTAATTTAAGAGTAGGAAAATCTCTTAGTTGACATTAGCAATAGGTGAAAAGAGATTGATGGTGCAGGAGCAATAGTACAAAGGGTAGGGCACTTGCCTTGCATGCAGCTGACATGGGGTTCAGTCCCCTGAAACCCATATGATTCGTCAAGAACTGCCAGGAGTAATCCCTGAGGGCAGAGCCAGGAGTCAGCCCTGAGCACTGCTGAACGTGGCTCTCCCTCTCACCACCCTGCCAAAATAATAATAATAATGAGATTATTTATTTGTTCTTACTCTTCGGAATCCTTGGTCAGATTAATACAGTGATAGCATTACAGAATTTCCCACTCACTATTTTAGCCTACAAAAGGAAGATCATTCATGGAATAATTCTGCAATGACTTTTGGGGAGAAGGGAGTCGATCTCATTTTTGCCCCCAACAGTAGATGAGCTTACAAAAGAACCTGCACTGATTGTTCTTTGGAGCTGTAGGCTTGTGAGGAAAATAAAGTTAAAGATCTTGGAAAGCTCTTTTCTTGAGTCCTGTGTATTAAAACTGAATATCAGTGATTTAATTTGGAGCATCTTGGTGACTTGTCATTTAAGAGAAAGAAAAGGTTGGAACCCTGTTACTAAGTTCCTGTTACTCCTTTAAGCAGTTACCCCCAGTTGTTCAGATGTCATTAGTCATAAAACCACTTTCAAGGCTTATTAAAATGTGAAGAAACTATATTTATGACTTTAGTGCTTACTACCGGAATAGAATTGTTATTCTGCCTACCAATTTGATAGAATTGTCATTTTAAAATTTTATTTAATTTTGCATTTTGAGTCATACCCAGGTATGCTCAGGGCTTACTCCTGGCTCTATGCTCAGGGATCAGTACTGGCAGACTTGAGGAACCATATGTGGTGCTGGGAATCAAAACATGGGTGGACTACATGCAAGGAAAGTACCCTTTTCATTGTACTATCTCTCTGGCCCAAAATTTTTGTGAGTTTACATTCCAAAATGTAAAGTGATCTATTTTCTTTCAGATTAAAAATTGCAGTAATTTTCAATTTTTAAGTGTAAATATATTTCTGTTATTATGAATTTAGTATTTTAAGAATGCTAGCTTACTGTTGTCCATGTTAAGATTATTGCTTAGTATGTTAATATCAATACTTTTAAATCCTTTACATCTGTTGGGTTAAACATGAAAACTGCTAACATTTTTATATTAAACATAATAGCTTTTTCCTGTCAGAGGCCATGTGAATATTTATACTGGTTGGTGTTAGGCTGTACCGTATTGACAGATGGGCTGTGGGCAGCCACTGACAACAGAGCCCCATAATTTCATGGGTCTTATGCAGTTGGTGAGCTGGACCTTCCCCACCTTTGTTTAAAGGCATCTAATTTAGATAACTTATTTTGATACGAGAAAGGATTTCCAATTTTGTGGATCACATTCACATTTATCATTAGTGCTTTGGTAAAATACCTACTGGAACTGTGTTTTGTTTTTCCTTACCTACCTGCCTGTTTGTATGTAGGCTTTGCCTTCCATATCTTATTTTTTGCAATACTTCTACTTCAGGTCCTGGTCCCCTCTGCTTTGGAGAGACAGTCTGTAATTATAAATTACATTCTAGCTATGAGGAAGAGACAGCTAAGAAATTTTTCTCTTCATAAAAACTAACTGGATCACTGCAAAATGACTGCAGAAGTAATATTACATTATCGGCCATATGAGAGTGATCCCACACAACTGCCCAAAATTATAGAGAAAGCAATTCAGGACTTTCCTACTCGTCAACCATCAAGATTTATTCCTTGGTTTCCGCATGATGGGTCCAAACTTCCACTCAAACCTGAAAGATCACCACCTGTGATTTCTGAAGAGTCAGTTGAAGATGTGAAACACTACTTAACCATGTCAGAGCATGGTATTAAGCCACATAGTTATGACTGTACTATAGATCTATTGGAGTTTCAGCCTGTTTTGAAAAAAAGGAAGCACTTAATTCGGTCACACACACTGAATGAGCAGACTAATTCCGGAAATCTGGAAAAACAATCAGAAAAAGGAATACGACTGAAGGCAAGATCTTGGAGTGTTTCACTTCCCCGAAGCACTGGTACAGAAAATGCATTTCCTTTGTCTAAAAAATTGCAAGACAGTTTAAGGACACTGAATTTGCACTCCCTTCATAGAGCAAGATGGACAATAGAGCACACTGTATGTGATAACCAGACTCTGGAAGAAGTTTGGGCAAAACTTAATCGAATTATCAGGCATAATGAACTTCCATCTTGTAATGCTACAATTCAGAGACATGTAGACCAAATATGGGTGTTCTGTGATGTTATGTACTGTGAATATGTGGGAAATCTTCTTAAAGAAAGATTAGCTCTTAATGGGAAAATACATTTATTTGTGCACAGATATGGTGCCATTTTTAGTATGTGATGAATTCCACTGACTGAAAAAATTTTGGATGAATGATGAATTGAAATAGTAGAGGAATAAATTTTTTAATGACAATGCTTTATCTCTGCCTTCACTAATAAACCTATTTGTTCTTAACATGATGAAAAATAATTACGATAGCATATGTGCACTTTAAATCCCAGAAATAAAGGTGAATTCCTGGACTTATTGATTAAAATAGGAGCTCTTTGGTTCTGTTTTTAGCAGCTTTCTTTTAAAATAATAATGAGCAATTATTGGAGGTAAAATGTTCTTTTTTTTTTTTAATAATAATCAGATAGTCCTGTGAGTTACAGTGAATAGTATGAATTTTGGAAAATTTTCACAATTTAATTTTATTTGTAAACCTAATATATTTTTTCTCTGCTCACCTAGAGTGTAATGACTTTAAATAAAATTTATGGACCAAATAAATGTAGTTAAATTGGGAGACCAGCCCAGAATTCTGCTTATGTTTCAAAAATTTGGTAAGAGAAAATATTTTTGGGTTGTAGAATGTGTTGTTTTGAAAAGGAGGTTTAAAAAAACCTGTAATTTGGTTAAGACTACAGTGTATCTTGAAGGGAATATATGGAATATAGATGAGAAATCAAGTGACTTGTTAGGCCATTCAGTGTTAAAGATGTTAATTCAGGATATTAGATGACTGACTTTCTTTTTTTTTTTGTATTTAAAAAATCTTTTTTTTTTTTATTGAATCACTGTGAGATACAGTTAGAAAGCTTTCATGTTTGAGTTTCAGTTCTGCAATGATCGAACACCCATTCCTCCACCAGTGCACATTTTCTACCACCAATGTCCCCAGTATCCTTACCTACCTCCCCCATCCCATCCCTCCCCTTGCCTTTGTGGCAGACAGTTTACCCCATATTCTCTACTTTTGGACATTATGATTTGCAATGCAGATACTGAGAGGCTATCGTGTTTGGTTCTTTATCTACTTTCAGCACTCACCTCCCATGCTTAGTTATCCCTCCAACCATCATTGATTTAGTGATCCCTTCTCTATTCCAGCTGCCTTCTCCCCCTGCTCATGAGGCAGGCTACCAACCATGTCACAATATTCTTGGCCCTGTCTCTACTGTCCTTGGGTGTCAGTCTCATATTATGTTATTTTATAGTCCACAAATGAGTGCAGAGATGACTGACTCTTGAAGTCATTTTGGGTTTCTCACGAGCAAAGTGTTTTCGATTTAGCATATATATCACCTCATGAAAATACTCGGTGATTTTAGAAAAATAATTAAAAGTATGTTAACTTATATTTATTTGACAAATGTGAGTGGCTCCTATGAACTAGATGTTAGGGTATATTAGAGGAGTGTACATGAAGTTACTGCCATTTCATAGTTCTTACCAGTCCTCAGAAAAACTGCTAAGACTGCACTTAATGGGAAGGCTGAGACATGGCGGCTTTTTGGCACAGTGCTTTGCTTTGGGTTCTTTATAGCCGAATGTGGCTGAGGAGTCTACTGATTCATGACTAAAAAAATCATCTTTTCCAGTTAGATTTAGACTATCCCAACATTACGTTATTAATGACTTCCATTACTTTTTTTTTTCAACTGTTTCATGCAACTTTTGTCTAGAAAGTCATCGTAATTTGCATGAATGCTTCTAAAAGACTTCAAATGAAAAGTTACTGTGGGTAGAGGGAGTTTCCAAGGTAGCTATTTTAGTAATTTCTTCCTCTTTGCATCATTAGGCGTCTTTCTCTTTATTCAAAACTGCTTAAGAAATTTCAAGAATTTCAGTGTTGCCAGTAAGCTCGCAAATCATAAATGGTAGATTTGGTTTTATGCAAACTTACTTACCAGAAGGTTGCTAATCAAGATTAGGGGCTGTATCTGAGGCACGGTGGTTAAGTATAATCCTCAGTGTATGAGACCCTGGGTCTAAGTGATTGTACATGAGACTGAAAATCAAAGGTAAGTCAGGGATCATGGAATCCATATGAGCAGCTTTTAAATCCAAGAATGAAATTTAAAATTAGAACTTCATTGATTATATGTGCTAGATTTAAATTTTTCTAATTTAATTTTATATAAATTTCTACTCCTTAAGAAATAATGAAGGGACTGGGACAATAGCACAGCAGGTAGGGTGTTTCCTTGCACAAGGCAGACACGGATTCGATTCCCAGCATCCCATATGGTCCCCTGAGCACCGCCAGGGGTAATTCCTGAGTGCAGAGCCAGGAGTAACCCCTGTGCCTCGTCAGGTGTGACCCAAAAAGCAAAAAATAAATAAGTAAAAAATAATAAAAGAAATAATGAAAAGGTAATTCAGAACTGGGAAACATTGAATTTTACTGAAAAATGGTGTTATAATCATAAAAGGATTAATTTTTCTTTTATGTAGGCAGTACTTAGGTAATCAAGGTCCAAGAATTTAGAATGCTCCAACAACCATTTTGAGACCTTGTTAAGGTATTTAGAGCCTCAGGAATGATGGTTCTGCCACAAACAAATAAATAGTAGGATTCAGCTGTATTTCTGTGTTTTAGTATTAAGTCTTAGATGTGAAAATAAATTACGGAAAGTGAACCTGTAAAGCCCTATAATAAAACTCATTCAGCATTATATCAGCTTTTAGAGGCAGCAGTACCATATCTTTATTTTTCCCTAACATGCTCTCTGCCTTTAAATGTTTAGTCATATTCCATGTAAAAAGATTTCAAAAGGTACCAGGGATAGATAGTGCTGCAGGTAAAGCATTTGCCTCGCACATGGTTAACCCAGGTTTGATCGTGGGCACCCCATATAGTCCCCTGAGCATCACCAGAAGTGATTGTTGATCACAGAGCCAGGAGTAAGCCCTGAGCACAGCCAGTTGTGACCCCCAAATCAAAAATAAATTAAAATATGCAGCTGTAAAAAAAAAAAATGCAGCTGTTAGAAAAGATGAAGTCATGAAATTTACATATAAGTGGTACTACGTAGAAAGTATCATGATAAGTGAAATGAGTCAGAAAGAGAGGGACAGACATAGATTGCATTCAGCTGGGGAATATAAAGTAACAAAATGGGAGACTAACACCCAAGAATGGCTGAGATAAGTACCAGAAGGTTCACTCCATGGCTTAGAGGCCAGCCGCACATGCTGGGGGAGAAGGCAGCTCAGATAGAGAGGGGAGCACCAAGTAAAGGGTGTTGGGAGGATCCTCCCAGGATGAGAGATGCATTCTGAAAGTAGACGATAGGTCAAACATGATTGCCACTCAATGCCTCTTTTGCAAACCACAGCACCCAAAAGGAGAGAGTGAACAAAAGAGTATGCCCTGCCACAGGGGTGGGGGTGGGGGGGTGGGAGAGATGCTGGGAACATCGGAGGTAGGAAATGAGCACTGGTGGAGGGATTGGTACTCAATCATTGTATAACTGAAACCCAAGCACAAAACTTTGTAAGTCTACAACTGTACCTCATGGTGTTTCACTAATAAAAATTTTAAAAAAATTTAAAAGACCTGAAGATATCACATGCTTTTATTTTAGTTTGTCATATTTTCAAATAATTTAGATGTTTTAAAATTTTCCAAGATGGGTCACTGCGTAGTTACTTACTTTAAATATTTTTTGTATTTAGTTTTGGGGCCATAGCCAGCTTACCCCTGACTCAGGGATCTCTTCTGATGGGGCTGGGGGGACCACGTGGGGTACCAGAGATCAAATCCAGGTCAACTGCGTGCAAGGCAAATACCTTGCCCATTACATTTCAGTCCAGCTCCCATAATTACTCATTTTAAGTTAATCTGCTCAAAATGCCAGAATTCAGCCATGGTTCACAACTTGGATGACTTCAGGGACCAAGCAGCATGTAAAATTTGGTAAGGACTTTGAACCTGAGATACAATCTACTGAACATTGCGGCCGTGGATGGAGGGGGGTGGGGGTGGGGGCCAAGGCTTGGGACACACTCAGCAAGAGCTCAGAGCTTACTCCTGGCTCTGTGTTCAGGAACCATATGGGTGCTGGGATTGAATCTTACATGTAAGGCAAGTAAGTGACTTACCGTTATATTATCTCTCAAGGCCTCTTTTTTTTTTTTTAACATTTTGGAAAGTAAAATATATATGCAAATTGGACTTCAACCAGTTGATTAGTTTGTAACTCTGACTTTTTTTCTTCAATTGGAAATAAAAATATGAAGAAGCAGATTTGTAAGATTCAAATTTTTATTGAATAAATTTGACACGTAACATTGTATAACTTGAATGCATACTCCATGTTACACTGAGAGAGTGGGTGTATAATTTTTGGGTTTGAACCACACTGGGCTGTGTTGCTCCCAGCTTGGTGCTATTCGGTTTCTCCAGGCAATTCTCAGGGAAATATGCAGTGATAGGGATAAAACCCAGACCTCCCCTATCTAAAGCATGCACTATAGGGGCCAGAGAAATAGTAGAGCAGGTAGGGTGCTTGCCTTGCGTGTGTTTAATTCCCAGCACCACATATGGATGTTGTCCCCAGAATCACACTAGGAGTAAGCCCTGAGCACCACTGGGTGTGGCCCAAAACAAAAACAAAGCAGTCACTCCAGCCCCAACCCACAGAGCTGTCTTGGTACTTGACAACCAATCTGAACTTTTTTAAAAATCTATTTGATGGTGGTGGTGGTGTGTGTGTAAGGGGGGTGGGGGGGATGCGGTGAGGCTATACCTGGTGGTGGTCAGGGGTTACTATTGGCTCTGCACTTAGGGTTGATTGGCTCAGGGAACTATATGGGATCCAGGGATCAAACCCTGGTCACCTGTGTGCAAGACAAGTGCTCTACGCATTGTACTATTGCTCTGTCCCTGAGATCTTTCTGCTTTTAATGAAGGACTTATCTTTATCTACCCCCTCCCATATGACCTCTAGAAAAACCATAGAACTTGTGAGTATCGTAATTTATAAGACTGGTAGATAGTGGAGAGTTTGAGTCTATAATAAATAAGTTGGTTGCATATTTGGGTGAACTTATGGTAACTTTTAAAACACTGTTTCAGGATTCCCTGAATGGAATCTTTTTGAGAGTGGAGAGTGCTGGCGCTTGAACCCAGGGCCTTACATATTCAGAGCATGCACCATGCACTCTATCTCTGACTAACAGCCACAGTCTCTTTTTTTTTTTATAATTTTTTTTTTTATTAGTGAAACACCATGAGGTACAGTTGTA